CAGACGTGTTAGCGACTCGTTGCCTCTCTGGATTCTTGCAACAGCAACAGCTCCCGATACCCGATTCCCGGCTCCCGGCTCCCGGACTCACTATGGCTGTGTAGCATGCAACGTTTGGGTGCTTGGTGGCCAGGATTGAATGCTTCTCACCTCGAAATGGAGCACAAGGCTATCCACAAGGCTCTATAGTTTCTCAAATTGCCTGCACGTCTTCTTTGGCATTGCTTTGAGAAAAAAATTGATCGCTTGTGATTAGCAGCGATTAAGATTAGAACAGTGGTAGCAAAACAGCACAGCAGCAAAGCAGCACAGCAACCGTAGCAGCAGCACAAGAAATGGAGAAAATAAAACGAAGATGAAAATGTATATCCCCAGACCGAGATCCAGACCCCGTACCCGTAACCGTACCCACATCAGCAGTCAGAGCCGGTGCATTCGAGACCCGCGGTGTTTTGTCAGTTATGTGCAAAGTGGCCAAGAGCCGCTAACATTTTTCAATTAAAACGCCAGTAGAAATACTCCCCAATGTGAGTGCTCGACTTGGGAGTACCCCTGAGAAGAGGGCTGGCTAGCGGTGCTTAAGGAAATCAGACAGTTTTCGATTTCTGCCTGGAGTTCCTCAGCCTTTTCCCGGATAAGATGGAAATTAAAACATTCGAGAACAAAAGGTAGATATATTACCTAAATTAAAGGATTCCTGTTGGCATTCTCCCGTCTCAATGAGACTAGAGATTAGAGATCTTCCTTCAGCTGTACGATTTGTATATACCCCAGCGACAGGTAAAGGATATCAAATAAGAAAAATGGCTAACAAGTTGGAGGCTCGCAGCTGCATCTGGATTAGATATGCTGGGATGTAGTTGCCACCGTCTCAGCCACCGCCACCGCCTCCGCCCGAGCCACGGCCTTGGCTAGCCATCAAAGCGATCATCATAATCGGATCGTATCGCATAGCCATCGCCATTGCATGGCATCGATGTGGGCATGTGGCTGATGTTCTGTTAGGCCTGTCATAAAACTTTCACGCCGAAATCTATATGTTTCATCGGGGCTGAAGACTCAAATTATTGTGAAAGATGTTCGCCGTTCCGTCTGGTGGCGGACTCTGATGAACTTGCCCGGCGATTGTATAAGAAAATTTCACGTTGCATTTGAGCCAGACGTGCTCCATCATTTGTCTCTGTTTCTTTACTTAATCTACCTCTCTCTCTCACTGTCTCTCTCTGCTTCCCTGAGTGTGTGGTAAATTATTAAAAAGCCATAACAAATATAAAAGAAAGCAAACAAAATAAAATGTATTTATGGAGCGTCGGTGCGTCAAGGCACGCGGCATTTGGCCAAAAGGTCTCTTCTCGTTTTGGTTTTTGGTTTTTTGGGAATGTTTCAGTTGCCGTTGACATTATTTGCCTTTAATTCGTGCACTTTCTTCTGGCCACAGTCGTGGTCGCAAAAACAAAAGCATTAAAAACAATTAGCCCTGCTCTGCGATGGTCTGTCATAAAAGATTAAAGACGGAAAACGCGATGAATTTTGTACGCGATTCGGCTTAAATGATGGCATGACACACACATGTGCATAGCACAAAATATGTATGGTCTGGACATTACTTTTACTGCTTACTGGCACTACTCTGCGTACTATTCGTAGTATTATTATTGAAATTAAATTGTTGTGTTATGTAAGCAAAAAAAAACTCCAACGAACTTTGGATGGTTGTGCAATCCGCTTGAATCGTTTTAATTGTAGGATTAATTACTTCCGTACCTTACTCTCTCAGACGAAGAGCGACCGAAAATTGCCGAATGGCCAAGTTGAATGGCGCTTTAATTTGGCTTAAACGCTTTAGATCAAAATTATGATATATGTCTGATCATAGGGCCAGAAAACTGGCGAGTCATGTTGGTGTTTCATGTTCAAAGAATCATAGAATCGAATCGAATCGAATCTCATCTCATGTATAGATCTTCGCACAAGGTACGCACATGGAGAAACTTCAACACTTGAACACCTTTGGAAAGCTCTCACACCCTTTGGGGAGAGGAAGGAAAATGTGTTACTTTATGGAAATTTCATTACAATACTCAACATGACAGCTGTCAAATGAAAACCCCATTCGATGCGGGACACTGCATGTTCTGCAGGTCTCCAAAGTAAAAAGTAAAAGAAGATGCCTCAAGTGGCAAGAAAAAGTGAAAATGTTTTACACATTCTGAAGAGCAAACAACACCGGAAATTCCACATTTGTTTAAATGAGATGAGAACACAATTGAGAAAGAGACAAAACAAAATGTGTCAGCTGTGTATATGTAACTTCAGAGCTAACAGCTTCATTATTCTAGAGGTCAGAAGTCATTCGTCACGCGAGGTACTCAACCTAGAGTCCCATCCCCAAACTCTGATTCCGGAGTGACCGCAACGAATTCGCAACAGTGAATGAATGTGGCAGTCGGCAGTCAGCAGTCGGCAGTTAGCTTGTATTATGCTAATTTCCAATTGTCATTTCGGAACCGTTAACTCGACTCCTGAGTGGAACAATGAATTTTTACAGCGTTTCGCTAATTTGCGTAGCCCAAAGTGAGGTGTGAACGAAAGTGAAGTGAAACGAAAGTTATCAGCATTCCAAATGCTGCGGAGCGGAGTCTAGTCTTCTCTGAAACTTATCCATCCACAGATCACTCACTCAGTCCGATAGCCAGGAGAAACGAGCGAGCGAGCGAGCGAACGAAACGAGACCCATCTTAGAATAGCCAAGTATTGTCGGCAATTAAAATGCTTTTGTTCAAACTAATGGACCTTTTACTTTCGGATGGGTTCAGATCGGATCGCATCGGATTGGTTCGTGATGTGATTCGATTTGATGATCTGTGATGATTGGATCTCGGTTTGGCTTTGTGCTCTTCTGTTGTGGCATGCAAATGATTTGTTTAACAACAAATTTCCTTTATCGAGAGTCGAGAGTCTGCTACCGATCCCCAGCCACAGCGAACGTCCGTACCCAATGAGAAAAACGAATGAGTATGCGGAATTTCAAGCGATCTGCGTGGGGGGGCAGACCCATAGGGTAGATCCCATACAACACGTGTGAAACTTTGGGCACACGATTTTAATGCGCAGACACAATTATTTTCACATTTCAGTGGTTCCTTTTATTTGCTTTTGTTCTTGTTGGGGCAATGGCAATGGCAATGGCAAAAATTAAAGTAGCGTAGAACTAAAGCAAAGCCCAGGACCATGAAATCGTGTTTAATTTTCATTTGGCTTTCTATTTGGTGGTGGTCTCCAAAAAGTGCTCAAGTTTCTCTTTCCAGCGCGGCAAAAGTCATTCTAATGGCCAGGTTCTGGCCCGGGCCATAAACGGCTTTAGTTTCTGTTGCCAGCTTTTGGATTCATTTCAAGGTTAGCGTGATGTGACACTTTCATTTGGCCAGCCAGCCCTAAGCCCAGAGTTAGTTCTTTTGTGTGTGGTGTGTGGTCGTCGGCTTTCTGGCGTTCTGGCTTTCCCATTCTCTGTGGCAGTCTGGCACTGAAACCACTCTCATGACCACTTCTCATAAACCTGTCCACATCAATATCAATTGTGGCTACTGTCTGACATCGATGCAACGCCGCTTAACAGCATAATTAACACATGTTCTTCGCACAATCGATTGCACACGCATCTTGTCCACGGACCAGTCATCCATGGACCCGACTAAATTGGTTATCTAGTGCGAGATGGTGCTGCACTGGCTCCTCCGACCAGTGCACTGGCGGGTTGAGTGACCAAGTCGCAGCCATGTGTCTGTCTTTTTCATTAGCACGTTGTCCGGCAACATTTCGAGTGGAATTGGTGTGGATACTTTTGGAGTGGGGCTTGTCAATGGCATTCGTAAACGGCGGCAGCAGATCAACAAAACAGGTGACACACCGACTCAAACTCGATGGCGACTGGGACTGAGACTGGCTCTATAAGCCGACAGCCAGCGAGAGGAGGGGCACAGGCACGGGCACTGCCACTGCCACTGCAACACCATCTGCCATTCGATCTGCTGCTCGCCCACATTTATGGCTGGAGCAATTATAGCCTGTTTCTTAATTGAGTTATGAGTATTTCTTGTTAGCCGAATTCCCTAAAATGCTGAAACTGTAACGAGGAAGTCGTTACCCCCCATGGGAATCGTGCAGCGGATTCTGGGGCAAGTTCTAATGCTGTTTCCCAGAACTGCTCCATTCGCCATTCGAACAGAAGATGAGACAAAGTGGCTCTGTGAGCTGTGTGCTGTGTGCTGTGAGCCGCGTTCCCCGTTTGTGGATCAATAATGCGACAGAAATGGTCTAATGAGTAAATTAATTGCTGGCCATGATCTGCTCGGACATTCTCCACTTGGTCCACACTAATTCGCAATAAAGTCTCAATTAACCAGCAAAGAGAAACGCCCCCCCAACATGACCTGAACAGCTGTCTGGAAGATATTGACTGTCAATCTACATAGATAGGTACAAGGTACAGTACATAAAGGTATTTGGGGTCGCTGAATGCAATTTTTTATATTTTTTTTTTTGTATTTGTTTTTAAATTGTACAAATTAATGTCACAAACAATTCAGCTCCCCATGATATTTTCATTCTTTAACTTTGAGTTTTATTTTTGAGCGAAAAATTAGACTCAAAGTTTAATCGTTATTTTCTAGTTTTATTTTTTGTTGCTCAAATATAAAATAATTATTATCAATATTGATTATCCTAAAACTGAAAATTAAACAAACAAACAATTTTGGTGGATTTGCATAGTTTATCCTTAAAGCAGCCTGTTTTATTGGTTTACTTAATTCTTATGTGCGGCTATTTAAGTACATGATTTTTTCGAGGAACAAATAATTATCATTATTTACGGTCTCTGGTCAAAATTGTTTCGATTACAATCGTCCCTGGCTATCGATATTGTGCATGCCTGGGGTGAACAAAAATCACAAAAGTAGTCGCATTTGTTGCCTGTCAAATGACTATACATGTAGTATATGCCATAAAGTCATTGTCTAAAATCGAGTCAACTAGTAAAGTTCTTAAAGTAAATTTTTTCGGCTAAATTTCAAGGCATATCCGGAGAGACAAGAATTAAATTGTCCGCAACTGCTTGTAAGCAAACGGACGGAATCAATATTGACAAGACGACCTAAGCTGATGCCTAACCAAAATATGGTAAGCCGCATCTCAAACCCCATGCAGTCTACTCCAAGTACTGTCTCTCTACGCAGAACTGTGCTGAGGATAAAAACCTGCAACAAAAGATTTCTAACCGCGAGGCAAACAAAAAAATGCTTCGTTGGCTCAAGAGAAAAGTGTTTAAGAGACTAGCGAGGAAAACATGCCTAGCTGTATTTATGGAGCCCATGAAGAATCCAAAATACTATGAGACTATCAAGAACCCGATGGATATCGGATGTATTATAAACAGAATCGAAAATGGGTACTACCAGAAAGCGGTAGAACCCTTAAACGACTTTCGAACTATTTTAGTGAATTGTTTCAAATTTTTCGAATACGAAGATCCGATATACAAAAATGGCAGGAAAATGATGAAGTATTTCATAAAGTTCTCAGAAAATCCACCTCGCGCACCGTATTTCCGCTCCACCAGGAAGACCCGTAACGCCACTCTGCAAACGGAGGACAGCAAGGTCACCAAGGCGGTCCTGGAACCGGAAACATGGCAGAGCAAGTGCTTGGCCTATCTGAGCAAGATTCGCTCCCTCTCTAACAAACTGGATATGCCATTTGCTAGCGCTCTGATCCTCGAGCAGTGTGACTCTCTGGAAACGAAGCTGTCTCAGGGCCACTTTGCGACCCACGAGCAGTTCACCGAAGAATCACAGCGCAGCTTCCACGATTTCTGCAACTCTGCCATAAACCATATACAAACCAATAGCGATTCGAGCTCTCCCAAGAAGCCATATCATGAAGAGCCAATATACAGCCCTCTGAAGGACCTCATCCTATTCTTCGACTCCAACTGCAGTTCTTGCTCTGGCTCCAGCGACTTCTCTTTCCATTGCTCCCAAGATGAGTCCTCAAGCGACACCTCGGACTAGCAGGGATAAGTCTTCTACCAGGAACGAGTACAAATATTTCCAATTCCAGCAAATCAAATATTAAACGAATTGCCATTGCGGAGGTGGAAAATCTGAATGATCTGCGCTTGCACTTGTCTTTCTTATAATAAACACTAATTAGTGATTTATCTCAGGGAGCCCGAAGGTTGGCTAAGTGCTGTTGATCTCGTATGTAGATGCAATGAAAGTGCATCGATGGGCACACATTTAGGCCAACACTGCTTTTCACTTTCATTGTAAACGCGTTAACAAACTGTGTCTGAGCCAGGCCTAATGATGGCTCATGCAGGCTGCTCTGGGGTTTGGCCATCGATTAAACTCATTCACTCGCAGAGGCCCATCAAAACAAACAAAAGCAAGTAGAAATGCTCCTCAAGAGATGCGATATATGAGATACACTCGTATGCTGGCTGAAACTCTCACTTTCCTCAATTAATGGGAATCATCACGAATACCCTACAGAGACCAACACACAGAGAAAGGGTATCCCAAGGGCTGTCCAAATAATGTAGCTGTCAGTGGGAGAAACATGGCAGGGAACAGGGAAAAGGGTAGAGGGTGGAGAGTGGAGGGAACTGCCACTAAATTAAGACATTTACGACCCGGTCAGATCCGAATCAATAATGAAATGGCCATGCAAAATTCTAGCCACAACAACAGCTTAGCGGTTCAGAGCCGCCTCGGGGAATGCCGCCGCACCAGGCAACGGTAAATGTATCTCTAGAGGAGACTTCATGACTGCAGATACTCGACTCGAGATTAGAATGAATCATTTCCAGCATCCTAATTGAGTTGCAGCCGGCCAGAATATTAGCAGACGCCTTGTCGAACCCCATGTCCATGTCCATGTCTGAGCCGATGTCTGTGTCGAGGTGTGAGACTATTTAACCGTCTAACTAAGGCCAAACAGCAACGATTAGTCCCAGACTAAGACGAGGAAGTGGGCCTGGGAGCTGGACCTGGACCTAGACCTGCAGCTGGAGCTGGAGCTGTAGCTGGACTTGGACGATGACGAAGGGCCATTTATCACAGCAAGAGAACTGCTCGTGTCTCGTCTCTTTGGGCAAATTAACCGTTTCGTTCCCCGACAGACTGACTGCCTGACTGGGTGACTGCCTGACTGGGTGACTGAGTGACTGAGTGAGAGACTAACGGGAGACAGAGTGGCTGGGATCCCACTCCTGGTCTTCACTCCTCCACTTAATTGCCCGTTCGATGCCCCACACCGAAAGTGTGGTATCTTATGAGACCCACAGTCCGACTGAAATGTAGTTCTCTGGGTCAATGCGAGCACCTGAACTAATCAGAGCCCCAGCGAGCGAGGCACGCGTGGCAGTCTCAGTTCTCTGGCAGTCTCACACTTGTCAGAGATTTCCCTCGGAGGTGACAGCTTTCACAAAATAATTCACAAATGTTGCACGCACTGCCAGATCTGTTGGGAGAATCGCAAGCAAGAGAATCGAACTGCGCCAAATGAATTCGATCTGAGAGTGACAAGAGAGTGAACCTTGGCTCGAACCTCGAAGGGAGCACAGTGCACAGTGCACACCCATGGATGGATCTGGTCTGTGTGTCTGTGAGAATTCGTACTCGAGCTGAACCTCACGTTCGATGTGGAAAAGGGTTCCATAAAACACAATGGAGCATCGCCAGTCCAAGTTCTATTGTTCTATGGCCATGGCCATGGCTTGCACAAATTTTCGGCAGCTTTAATGTTTATTCATGAATTCCAACATGAAACTGCAATGCAACGAGGAAGAGACAAGTTCTCCGGCCTGCACATAAATCAAATTGGCCGAAATCCTCTCCAGCAGCATCAGAATCAGCAGCAGCAGCAGCAACAGCAACAGCAGCAGCAGGCACATCCATGGCAACATCCATATCCATATCCAAATATCCCCAGCCATATCTACATCCACATCCACAGCCACATCCACAGCACGCAGTCATGGCCAACTGATTGAGCTGTCGCGTATTTGGGTGAGGTGAGATCGCCCAGTGTCTAAATGTCCATAGATTCTAAAAGATCGAGGTTGAGGCTGTGGCTATGGCTGTGTCTTAGAATGGGGCTGGGGATAGGGATGAGGATGAGGGCGAGGGTATTCCTATTTCTGGCTTGGCATCTGCATTTGAATTTCGTGTCTTGGCTGCTTAGGGAAATCCGCTGCTGTGGAGAAAACGAAAATTTCCATATTACTTGTATTGCCATTGCTCTTATATGGCTCCAGATCTCTGCCATTTTCACGGACTTTTGTCATATCAGACGGGGTAAATGGTAAATGGCAAATGCTTAAATGCACAGCCCGAGGCCCGCCCACAGATTCCACATCCATCCTGGTCCGATTCAGAGCTGCAGTCTGAGTCGGAGTTGGAGTTAGATTCAGAGTGCAACCATATCTCTGGCAACAACTGGGTCAAATTCAAACAACAAAAGTGCATCAGTGGCCGCATCAGTGGCAGACCTAACGGAAGAAGATTATCAATTTTTTTTTTTAGCTCATATTAATGGTCTTTATTTTACTTGACTAGGCCCAGTGGCGGGATCTGAGATGTTTTCCGTGTAAGGCACTGGCCAAGCACAGTGGTCCACTGTGTTTCTTCTCCCACTCTCTGGACAGGGAACACCTGACGAACGCTCGGTGTTTAGTTCTACTTTTATTGTGCATACATATATTAATAATAATAAAAAAAACTTTTTGTGGACGGGCGGAGAACATTCTAATTTTGGCCAGGTGCTAGCAAAAGCATCAAGAAGAGAGCCAGCTCCGTCACGACCCTAAACTAATCAACAGCCAAGCCACAAAGCCATATACATACCGTTAACCGTTGGTCGGTGCTCATGTCCGTATTAAATGAATCTTTCCGCTCATTCTTGAAGCTGCTTTTTATGTAGCCACATCCTTATGTTTACTGCATGTAGGTTATGTAATAAGGAAGTGCAAGGATTTGATCAGTTCATTATTGTGCTCGTAAACGAAGCGCGAACAACTTTTAATTATTTAAATGCATACACCATGCCCATACCAGCCGAATGGGTTTCCTTTCGATAATAATAAAATAAATGAAAGAAATTTGCGTTGTTTTTAATAGAACAGGAGTTATATTTAAGGAATGCAAACGAACTGTGAACATTCACATTGCCATCATTTTACCGAAGATAGATAGGATTTATTTAGAGGATAAATGTTGGATTCTAAGGCAGTGTTTCCTGTAAATCATGCATCAATATTATTGATATCATATCATATTACATAGCACGTAGTTACGTACGAGTATGTGTATCTTTATCTTAATTGTAAGTCATCCACAATTGGAATACACCAATTAAGTATGCTTTTTTTTGCCTTTGTTTGGTTTGTTTTTCTGGCATTGCCCCAGTGTGAAACCAGTCCAATACTCTGTTACGAATTTAGCCACAAATAAGTGCATTGAGTGAGCTTCAATCTTGGCCATGTTTAGTAGCCTCCGTTTCTCCAGATGTGCCATCATAGTCGTACCATTGCCCACTCCAGCAGACCAGACGTCGGCGGGCGCTTTCTTTTGATGCACCAGGCTGATGTAATGTGTTTGGACTGCAATCGATTCGAGTCGCATGCATACCCACATAACCATATCATCCGCCATAATGGCATTAGCCACTCTCTATGAAAGCGAAAAGTACGGTAGTGGATAATAAGCAATTCAGCTTTTTCGGGGCTGAGGCTGAGGGGCGGATATCATTGAAAAGTTGTCTTGCAATTGTCTGCATTTACTTGTCTCCCGATTTGTAAGTTTTTAAATATTTTTCCTCTGTATTTTCGTGTTGGTTTTTTGGGTCACAGCTGCGTGTGCAGCCAGAGTCATTTGTTACATTCCCCACATTCGTGCTGAGCAATGTCCGTGGAGATGGCATTCATAAGCAGTATTTTTGAGCAGAGTACCATAATACGCACAATACGAGTCCAAACATTCCCAGCGTGTCGTGTGCCATGTGGGGAATTGGGGAATGGCAGAGGAGATGGATGCTCGTACGAGTATTCCACACATGCAGGCGGTCGCCTGGTCGCCTGGTCGGTTGATTCGCAGATTGAGCAGAAATCGCGGATTGCTAATGAAGAATCGTGTGTCTATGGCTAATTAGGCGAAGAACCATTAAGGCTATTTGTGGATGCCGTGGATGCCGTGGATGAGCCAAAAAAAAATTGGGTTTCTAGTGCAGAAATTCAATGGGCCATGGCTATTTATATCCGCCAACTGCAAACAAAAGACTCAAGCAACGAACTCGAACTCGTTCGCTCTGTGCGTTGCGTTGCGCTGCCTTGCCTTGCCTTGCCGTGCCTGGTGGCCAATCTCCGTTGGCCCGGCTCTAGCTCTTTGTTGTTGGTGTGTGAATTTATGCATAAAGATTATAATATTTTCGCGGGCCTTAACTGAAGCCACTGCACCACACAGCCGCTGCACACAGTTAGCTCTGACCGCGGGCCCCGATACGTTCAATAATTCAAATAAAAAAGTAGCCAACAAATTTTTCTTCACTCTGATTTTGTAGACCACAAAACGCCCACCAAAAGCGCGGCTCCAGATTTCCCCCGCGGCCCGTGGCAAAGTATAAAACGCAGTCAGTAAACTGAAAACTGAAATTGGGTTGTGCGGAGCGAGCAGACCTCTCCCACTCCTCCTCCACAGGCTCTTGGGGTTCGCTTCTAACAATTTGCCTTGCAATTAGTCAAAATTATTGTGCAATGTTTACCCAACAAGCCACGAGTGACACTTCTGTCAATAAACAATTCATTTGCATAACTCTGGACACGATTCTTCCGCGCTGCCATAACCACAATCACAAGCACAGCCATGGCGGCTGTCTCCATGTACCATTCTTTGCCGTTTTGTGTTCGGTAGCCGTGGGCCCATCCGCGGCTCTCCAAGTGCAAATCATCTTCACACTTCTCCGGGAGGATGCTAAAGTACATCCATGAGTGTGCATATTCTGCTTATGCCCCTGCTAATAGAGGGTATAATAGCGGACTGATGAGACGAGTGGCGATGAATGTTTGCAAGTTTCTGTGGGTGGGTTTGACCGACAATTATGCTGGGTTCGGGTGTAATTTAAGGAAGGAATGTCATTGATTCCATTCGTAGAA